GCCACCCCGATACCCCTCCCGCCGGCACCATCGAGCACCCGGCGGGGAGGTGCTGGCCCCGGGGCGCCACCGGCGCTGCAGCCCCGCGCTGTGCGTGCCGAGCGCCCGCCAATAGCGCGCATGGGGTCCAGCAGCGCGGTTTCCTTACCGGACGGCGGCAACGAGCGCGGCGGGACCGCCTCACAAGCACCGCAGCATCGCATCGCGTCGCGTCGCGTCGCATCGCGTCGCCGCAGCCGGGAAACGGCACGCGCAGCGCCGGAGCGAACCTGTGCGTGCGCGGCGACAGAGCTGCAGTGCCGCCCTTTGGCCACAGGGTGGCAGCACGAGCACCGCAGGACGCGCCAAACTCCTCGAGGGCGTGGCCGGAGCTGCAGTACCGAAATTTGTTCGCCAGGCGGCAGCAGCGAGCGCAGAGAGCCCCGTCACTGCGCGAGCGCGCTTTCGGAACTACCATACCCGACCTAATTGAAGATGTCCCTGCTCATCACGGGGTGTCGGACACGATGACCTTTAAAGGTCCCTTCCTACCCAAACCATTCTGACTGCATGATTCCAGCCCACAAAGTGCTGTTTCCATGCCTGGAAGGCTCCACGATTTTCACGCATTCCTCAGGAGAACGATACTAAGGCCCATTTGTGGTGAATGGCAGGACGACTTTCTACACAACTTCCATATGTTTTTCTGCACAGTTGTCTTTGTTGCCTTTACAGCTCCAGGTATCCTGCTCAGTCGCTCGTTTAAGGCCAAGTTTTCCTTTGTGGGCCAGGAGTAAAAATCCATGTTTCCCTCCAGTACAGAGGGCAACTTTCTCCTTTTGTTGGTTCCTTTCCCATAAATCGCCAGAAGAAAAATATGTGGATGTTCCACATGAGGTGGGGAAAGCCAGTAGCAACCCTTAAATGAAAAGTAACCCACGATTAAAAAATTGTTAGTGCAAACAAAGCCAGCCTTTTCAAGTGCCCTTCTCCCCAGAGGAGTGCCCTGCAAATGCTAACAAACAGGGCTGCCCTGAAGAAGTGACATGGGAGCAGCACATTTACAGACATGCTCAGGTCAGTGCAAAACCTCATACAATCAGATCTTGCCCTGCAAACATCCATGCCCTTGCTTAACAGCACAGGGAAGTGTAGCCCCTGAAGGAAGTAGGGGAGTTACATTGGCAGGATAAGGGCCTTATTTTGCTGCCCTGCATTCAAGCTTTGCACTATGAAAACTGGCTCAGGGTTGGGGGCCACGTGTGTCAGAGAGGCTCCCTCCAAGAGGGCTAAGCCGCACTGGGCACCCAAGAGCCCAGGGTGTCTCTGACCCTGCTGATCCACTGCCACAAAACTGCTCTCAACCTGTGTGTTAGCAGCATCAGGGCTGTGAGCTCCAACCCTGGCTTGTTCTGCATGGCTCAGCTTCCCCAGGGCCGCACAACCAAATACTGGGGGAACTTTAATCTTCCTCCAGGCCATCAGAGCAGCCAAAAAGGCTGTGGAGGTCAGGGATTAGTCCCGGCTTGGCTTCAATATGTTCTCTTGAGCGCTATCTGAATCTCAAATGCACCATATCTGCAGTTACGTATCTGATCCAGATTGAAGCTCATTTGCTTGCACAGCCTTGCAACAGAGAGATCAGTTCAAGCTCAGTAACTTAATGTTTTGCCAAGATTTTGCATTTTGCATTGAGACCTACATTGCTGCCATCACTCCCGATGCCAAGTCAGCCCACACATCTTCCTGCCGCCCATGGAGTCATGTGCTCTGAAGGAAAGCCTGGCAATACCACATGCTGGGGTTACCAACCCCAGAGAGGACTGCCCTTACACATCCCAGGGACCCTGGTGCAGCCAGCCTGCGCAGTTTACAGTGTGTTGCAGGCACATCTCAAACTTCCATGAAAAGCTAAGGAAAAAGGCTCTGCCAGAGTCCTGGGGCTAGAAAGCAGCCAGGACAGGCCCATGTCTTGCCCATGTGTGGCCAAACCTTGAATCTTTTCCTCTTTTGCTTTGTTGCATCCCAGTGCAGGGCAAACTCTGCAAAGAAAGCAAGCGTCCTCTGCTGGCTGCAAGCAAAAAATGGATGTGGGGATACCCTGGCTAGGGACAGCACTGGAGCAAGGATGTGTTCTGGGGCGTCTGTGACCTGACTTTGTTTTAAAGATGGACAATAAACCAGCCATGAAATGGAGCTACAAGCTGGCTGCTTGCAGCATGGACAAAAGAAGGGGGTCAGGATCTCTGTGCCTTCAGGCTGTGGGTGCAGGGCAGGGTGCAGTCCTTCTCTCTCACAGCCCCGTTGCTGGGGGAGAACCCCAAGTGGGTCCCCTTGAACAGCCCAGGTAAGGCCTGAGATGGTGGGGGATGCACAAGAGGGCCAGGAGATCGGGGGTGCCCGAGGCACAGGAGCAGAGGAACTCTTCACTGGCACAAAGCACATTTTGGGCAGTGCCTGCAAAAAGGACATAAGAGCAGGGGCCAGAATCCAGCGTGCATTTGTTCTCTGTGTTTCTGAAATAATCCCTCAGAGATCAATGGGGTTTCACATCTTTTCTTGTCTGTTCTTAATCTGTTCACTTGACAGATGCCAAACCACCATACCCCGTATGGAAAAACACAAACCAATATACGGAGCCTTACATCTTCTCTTGCTTTGTTCAGAAACGTTCCCCAGAGCCTGGCTCTGTTCATGCCCCAGGCGTGTGTGGAGGAACCTGCACCGGGGACAGATCTGCTGTCAGCAGGGTTTTCCCAGCAAGACCCAGAGAAGGGGTGGCCAGGGCACAGATTGTACCTGATGGAGCAGCTTTGTGTTCATGCAAACCCGATGGCTCAGGTTGGTGATTATCTGCTGCTGACATCGCTCTGCTGCCAAGAATCCTCTCCCGAAAGCTTGGTCCTGTTCTTCCAGGCGCTGCAGACTTGTACAGCCAGAGACAGTCCCGGCCAGGCAGGAGGTGAGCAGAGACAAGGGAAAGGCCTTGCTAAAGGTCACAGAGCAGATATGGCCAGAAGGAAAACCAGTACCCTGAACTCCCCAAAGGCTCCAGTCAATTGTTCAAGCAGCCTCTCATCCCAGTGTTATCTCAGAGTTCATCCCTGCAAAATCTGTTGAGGATGCGAGCAATAGCATTTTAGTGGTACCCATGAATGCTTCATATTTAAGGCTGAGACTCGGTGACTACAGCACTATCATTATCAGGGCCTAGACTGAACCATCCCTGATAATAAATAATACAAGGTAACTCCTAACATCTAAAATTATTCTATCCTAAGCTGTTCCCATTCTCATCCTATCGATCAGAAGGTCTGGGTGTTCGCAGCAGCTCATATGGTAAATGGACTTTAACTTTCTCCTTTCCAAATACTGCAACTGGCTCTTTTCAGAACACTGCCATGTAATTTACAGCTCTATCACCAGCTCCTTAATGATTGCCAGGTTCTTTGCAGTCCTTTGAAAGTGAACACAATAACAAGATATGAGCAGAGACTGACCACAAGGTTCGTATCTGTAGATCCCTACGAGCTTTTTTTCATCTTTTCAGCAAGCTAATGGAAACCAATTCTGTATCTTCAAGGCAAGATGATGAGGTTTTCCTGTTCCCTGGACCAGTAACAACAGAGAATTGATACAGCTTTACAGATGCCAGCGCATCTCTACATCTCAACTTTACAACTAGCCTCAGGCAAGAGAGGGAAGGGAGAGACGTCCTCTTTGCAGATCATTTGCTTCATCAACCTGAAACACAGTCCTGCCAGTCTGAGAACGGGCTTGAAACAGTGACCGTTAAACACCTGTGCAATTTGTCCATTAAGGTTTGGATGAGCAAAAAGGAAGGCTGGGAGAAGATTCAGAAGCTCTGACAGGAGAGGGAAAATGGCACTGCCTTGGGCTGTTCACAGCATGCCCTGCTCTGTTTGGATGCTGCTTCACTCCAGCCCAAGCCCGTG